CTCATCTTTCAGAGGGTTTTTTTCTTTCTCCTAAGTGGATTTCCAGTGAATCCTAGATTGTAAAAGTAGCACTACTGAGTTGTTTCACATTTGTTTTTCTGGAACCCTAGGGCTCTAGGCCTTCAATGATCCTAGATGATTTTAATCTCTTGACTTGAGTTCCCCTATCATTCAGGTAATGTAAATTGAAACATGCTTGGCATGTAAGTAGTGTCTCTAATTCTCATAACTTGCTTGTTATTTTCTACCCAAGATTCCCAGCAGACTGTGCTTTCCAAGGCCAGAGGATAGTTTGTTCTCATCCTCTTTTCATTCAGGGGGCAGCTCTTTAAGGTCCAAGGCCTTATTTAGACTTAGACTCTAGGTCTAAGACTTTCCAGCACCTGGAGGTCACTTCTCCTGTGGGCCCCTAAGGCCTATGTCCAATCCAAAACCCTGTGGGCTACCTTTTCATCAGCTTTCTAGAATAACTCTTCATTTCTGGCACCTGGGGGTTTTCCCTTGGTTTCTTTCAAGTTTGGAAATGTAGTAATTACTTTTGGGGTGTTCTATCTTATTCAGGATTTCTTTGTATTTATAATGTTACGTGGCATTACACCTTGCCAGACACTTTCTAATCTCTTTTTTCTAGCAAAGAGAGAGAGCCTTAGAGTGAGAGCCCAGGGGTTTCTACCTTGAATTTAATGGCGTTGTCTTATTTTTATTATATTTAATTTACATGACTATTTATTTTAGGTGAGTGATTCTAGGTTTCCATATATACTAGTGATACAAACCTTCCTTTCAAAATAAATTTACTTAACTAAAATAAGTCAGTTTAAAGAAAAGTATTCAGTAAATTGACAAGTGCTAGATGTTTATCAAAAAACCATAAAGGTGATATATTAATATTCAAGTTTATAGAACTCTTGGAAGCATTTGATGCCCTTCTGAGCTTTTGTCCTCTTTTTCTTTTTTTGCTGAGGAAGATTCGCCCTGAGCTAACATCTGTGCCAGTTTTCCTCTATTTTGTATATGGGTTGCCACCACAGCATGGCCACTGACAGACAAGTGGTGTGGGTCCATTCGCTGGGAACCAAATCCATGAGCCTGGGCTGCCGAAGCAGAGCGTGCCAAACTCAATTACTACACCACCGGGACAGCCCCTGTCCTCATTTTAAAAAATATTCTTTCATGCTTTAGCAATCCAGACAAGAAGCTGTGTACCATCAACACGAGCCTGGGGTGAGAATGTGGGAAATGGGTTACCCAAATTAGGGCATAGTGTGAGTCAGATATTCCCTTCAAAACAAATAGTAAAGGCCAGCTGTACTAGTCAGAGTGGGCTGGATTAGGATGTGGTAACAAAGAAACTCAACATCTCAGGGCAAAACACAACAAAAATTCCTGTCTTGTTCCCATATCCAACGAGCTTTAGTAGGGGCCTCTGCTCCTCACAGTTGCTGGGCCACAGGCTGCCAGAGCCCCTCCACAGCCACCAAGGCAGGGAAGAGCACATGGCACTCTAGGCACTTCCTCCTAAGTTCTCTGCCTGGAATTGACACCTGCCACCTCCACTCTCATTTCATTTGTCAAAGAAACTGATGTGGCCACCCTAATTTCAAAGGAGAGCAGGAAAGTACAATTTTACCATGTGCCCAAAGGCCAAAAGCCAGAAATATTTGGTGAAGAGCAATAATGATTAGAAAACAATCCAGCAAATGAACAGTCCTGCATGCATCCTCTAGGTGGGGACGTGGAGCTGAGAATCTCTTTGGGAGGTCAGCCATAGTAGAGTCAGACCTGTATTTACACCCCCCTCAGCCTCTTTGTAGCTCCGTTCTGGACACAGAAAACCCCAAATTAAGTAGTGGCTATGGATGGAGAAGGTAAAATACTTACCTTTTCGCTGGACTGATGTGTCACCTAACAGATCCCGAGAGGCCTCCGTTACTGATCCTAAAACTTCATGCTGCTCAATCGTCAACCACTCTGTTTGGCCACTTCCCTTCTACAAATATTTATGGACCTAATGCATGAGTGTGGTTGAAGTATTTACAATGAGTGCAACTTGGGTTTCTTCCAGGTTTGCCTCTAGGCTGTTCTGGTTCAGCTTTCCTTCTCTGTCCCTGGAGTTTCCTAAAACATCCCCATGGCCTTCTGTAATATCCATGGGTGTGTGAGAGTCCCTCTCCTCTGATCATCCCTGATCACAGCCTTCAACTTTTCCCTTCCCTCATGCATGCCACCACTGGCTTTCTAGCACCTTCTTAACAGAGTCTCTGCTCTGTGTTGCAAAGGAGCATTGCGAGACAAAGGCTGTATTCACTAACGTCAGTGAGTTCAGGGCACTTCTAGGCTCTATGGAGACTTGTGCAATAGTGAAATTTTCCCTTGCCCAGGCTAATACCCAAATCGTAGTGACCTTAATTATGTTTTGTCCCACCATGACACACACTTCAGTTACATCACTGATCCTGATATTATGTTTAAAATGAGGGAATGTAACACCTTAAACTTAGTCAATGCTTTATGATTTACAGAGTACTTTCATATGTAATACATTTATTCTTTGTAGTCACTGTGACGTTAGGTATTTGTTATCTCTATTTAAAATCACAAAGGTGGTCAGCTAATTTTTTCAGGATTAATCAGCATGTCAGTACTAACAGGAGAACTATAACCCAGAACTATCACCTCATGTCTAGGATTCTTTCAATTATCCCACGATGTTGCCTGTACCTTACAAATGTTAACAAAACCTACAAAAATGTAAGGCTGATACCATCTACCTATTTTAAAACCCTTCATGTTTATTTTGGAGCTAAGGCCAGCACCCTTATGTGCTCTGTGAAGCAGGTAGAGATATGATGTCCTTTTTTTGTTTGTTTTAGGTTGACTCATAGGCAGAGGACTAGAGAAATAATGTACATATGCCTTTAGAGTATTTCAAGCTCAATAATTCAATCCAACACATATCGGGTATTTACTTCTACCAGATGCTGAAGACATGATAGTAAGGAAGACAGACACGGTTCCTGTCCTTATGAAGCTTCAAGGCTCGTGGAGAAGGCAATTATAATAGATGGCAAAAAGAACTACAATATTAATAGATAACATTTTTTTCAGTATTTTTTCCAGACATTGCGCATTCCTCACCTCACTTCTTCTATTGGTGAGGAAACTGAGGCACAGAAAGATTAAATAACTTGCCATATGACACACAGTAAGTGATAGAACTAAGATTGGAATCCAGCTGCTCTGAACAGCAGCATTTTGCTACTTTGCAGGTTCTGCAGGGTTGATGTCAAGGAGAGCACACACAGATTACTTCAGATGACAAGGGACCATTGTAAGGAAATCTGAAAAACCGCGTCAGAAAGGGAAGCCCAGAATCTATCCCTCTGGGTCCCAGGACTTTTAAAACTGGGGCCTAGTGCAGGCCTCGTTGTTGCTCACCACTCCCACCTCTATGGCTCAACAGTTTGGTTTGCTGCCACCGAGTGGTGTCTCGGTTTGGCACAGGTTATCTTGTTCCTGCCAATACATTATTGCCTTTGACTCACACGCCAACCTCTTGCTCACTGGTTTTCCACTAGGGTGCAGGATCCATTTTAGAGAACATACAGGGTGGAAGCCACAGCAAGTGTATGGAGAAAGAAACTCCCTGAGGTTGTGTTTTTGAAGGGATCTGTGGGGTAGACAGGTAAAGACACAGGCCTTTACTTCTCTTCTGGGAACAGCACTGAGTTATTGGTGATAGTCATCATTATTTAACCCCATCATCCCATCTCCATCACAAGAGTGAGGTTGGCCTGTTTTGTTCCTGTGTATCCTTAGCACATAGTAGACACTCGATACATATTTATTGAATAAATGAAGTAAGTACAGTTATCACTAGAGACGCAGAATTTTGTTTTCATCACAGTGCTTTATTGACAATAGGGGGTTTGACTTGGATCCTGGAGAAATTGATCACCCAGGTAAATTCCAAATGTTTGGTAGGCCCAGACTGAGGTGGAGAGAAGTCTCAATAAGAGAAGGAGGGAGGGATTAAATTTAGAGCTTTAACACAAAGGTCTATCATGTTTAAATTTAGATTAGTGCCTACATCTCAAGGATTCACCCTAGATAAGTGAAATTACATGGAAGCCGCCAAGAAGAAAAATATGTTATCACAATAAATGGCGATTTACTGAACAAGGGACAGAAGATAAAAATAAGTCAAGGGGAATTCACTGTGAACAGTGGTCAGCTTCCTACAAGAGCATGTAGATTTGTCACAATTTTCTCCAGTATTTTCCTATTCCCCCATGCTTCTCTTACTAAGTGGGCTAATATAAACAGTCCTGGGCTCAATACTGATTAGAGAAGAGATGGTAACTCATGACAGAACCATCTTCACCAACATATAATTTACAATGAATCTTTAAATATTCAAAGAAGGAAGGAAAATAGCATTAGTCAATACCTTCTCAGGAATGTTAGGTACTTTACCTTCATTGCTCTATCTTTCAACAACTCAGTGAGGTAGGTGGTATATCCCTATTTTACAAATAAAGAAAATGAGGCCAGTGGAGTATGCTTTTCTCTGTCCACAGCATTATGCTCAAATTTACATGGAGCAAGAGATATCTACAAAGTCAGGTGTGCCTTTACTCCAAAGCACATATATTGTCTCTTTGGTTGAAAAAATAGATATTAAATGCTCCCTTAAGTATATTTTATTAGTTATTTGCCATTCTTGTTTCTGTTTTTTTTACGTGGTATGCGTTTACTTATGTGAGCTGGTAGGAAAAGTGACTCGCTGTAGGCAGAGTAAAATTGGTATCCACGGTTCTCATTCACAGTAACTGCAGAAAGTCTCTATTCTAATTTGGGGCCACTTACAATGGATTCTGTACATGTACTTGGTTTATTCCAAGTGAGTTGAAAATGTTATCCTGGAATCTCTGGGTTTCCTTTTCAAAGAAAATTAAATCCCACATAATGTTTTACACTCTTTGCTTTGCTTTTTTCAGACTCCTGTCAGAGGATGTAGGAATGGACATCCCCTTTGAGGAGGGAATACTGAGTCCCAATGCTGCAGACATGAGGCCTGGTGAGAGGAACATTTGTTCATTTCCCTCAGCACTGTTCTATATCCAAGGATTTTCATTATTCAGTGAGAGAACCATTTCCTATGCATCCAACTTGTGATTTCAGTGATAAAAGTGAAGGCAGAAAAAAAATATGTGTGAGGAAGGGGTAAGGCTTGATTTGGTTAATTTCAGAGTTGACTTGAATATTGATGCTCGCTGGTGTGGGCCACCTTCATCTCCTGGGCCACGGCTGTATCTGCCAATGTTTTCAGTTCCTGTGATAATTGCCTATTGTACATCCTAACCCCAAATTCTAACTAATATCTAAGTTCACCAAATTTATACTTGAGTGTGAGAATGTGTAAGATTAGAAATGTGATATGAAGAATGCTCAATATCCTAATTATTTAAAAAAACCCTGCACTCTAAAGGTTTACAACCCAAGGCATATACAAGAAGGAATTTAAAATTTTCAGTTGCAACCTATGTGATTCCCATTTTGTACCTTTGCACTGTACCAGCTTCCTGATCATACCAAGATCCTGAACCCAGATGTTATCAGCCAAGCTTCGAATCTAGTAGGAAGAAAGGAATCAATTACTTTTTTTTCTGTCCAAGTATTTAAAGTGCATTCTGCAAAATACTAGTCATGTGACATAATTATTTGTAAATGTTCTATGACCAAATAAGCATGGTAGCCACCATATGTCTACTCCACTCTTCAAGGTTCACAGTGCACTTTTGAAGAATAAAGACACTAAGGCCATGATTATCCCGTATCGTAGCCGTTCACTATATGTGGCTATTTAAATTAATTAAAATTTAAAATAAATTTGAGAAGTTCAGTTCTTCAGTTGCACCAGCTTCATTTCAAGTGCTCAATAACCATATGTAGAACATTTCTGTCATCATAAAAAATTCTTTTGGACAGCACTGCTCTGAGAATTCTTGTAATATAGAAACCCAATGTTTTTCAAACATATTGGTCAATAGAAATTTTTTCAAGTGATACATAAAAACATCACATGGAACACAGTTTAAGTGATGTTCCATACAGGAAAAAAAAATCTCAATGACAGAGACAGTGTCAACTTCCTTAGGACAAGGCCAGAGTTAAAATTCCAGATGGCCTTCAAAATATTTTGTGATAAGGAATCCTGAAAGTTCTATTTTAGGCTGTCTTGTTTAGTTGGGATCAATATGGTTAAAAATGACTTCTCCAGCTCTGCTTCTGTTAAGTGAAAGGCACATGACACGCAAGATGCACATTACTGTGAAAGGATGGGAGCTGCTTCCACGAGCCTTAATATCAGAAGACTATCACTTATGGTGTGGAAACCAGCGTCAAGCAATGTTGGCATAGGGGGTAGTGACTGCTTGATCAAAGAATGTAATCTGGGAGGAAACTCTAGTTTAATTAAAAAAAAAAAAAAAGAATGCCAGCCAAAGAAAGATCACAGCAGATCATATACACAGAGTTGTCAGGAACTGAAGAAAAGTATTTGGGGAGTATCTGAGAACATAACAGATAAAGTTCTTATCCTCCATTCCATGGGAGCAAAGTCTACACGAACCATTATAAGATACATGTAAGCTGAACTGTTTTTCTTATGCAATATGCACTATAAAAATTCAATTCAATTTAGTATTATATCAGTGTCAGGTTCTCAAACCTGAACAGGGCAATTCTAAAAACTAGTTTCTGCCCATTCAGCAATGGCTCTCGCTTCCTATTTCTACATGGCCAGGGCTGACGGGGCTGGGGCAAGCCAGTACTGAGGGCTGCTGGTCAAGAAGTGGGTCCAAATCACATATAAGGAGTTTTAGCAGGTCTGCCTTTACTGAGAGGACCTTAAAAATGTTTTTCCCTGGGGCCCTCACCCACTCTTGGGAGCCATGTACGTGGTCTGATACTTGATGTTGCTATTCTTTTTCTTCTTTAGAACCTCCTAATTCTCTGGATCTTAATGGCAGTCATCCTCAGAGAATCAAGCTCACAGCCCCAAATATCAATCTTTCTCTGGACCAAAGTGAAGGGTCTATTCTGTCTGATGATAACCTGGACAGTCCAGATGAAATCGATATCAATGTGGATGAACTCGATACCCCTGATGAAGCAGATTCTTTTGAGTATACTGGGCATGGTAAGTCGCCAAGTTGGCAAGACCAAAGTTAAATGGAAAGTGAAAGATTATCTAAGTGGTATGAGGAACAAACCTCCCATTTTATTGCTGGTGACTCCTTTCTGTGATTTCTGGAAGTTTCTGTTTGTCTCTCAGGTCATAAGGGGCCATGATTGACAGTCCAGAGCTTGACAGAACAGGTATGGTTCACTGAGGTCACACATAGTCATTGCTTCTTTGTTAAACCCCTACTCTCTGCCAGGCTTTGTGCTAGGCGCTGGAGCTGAGAGAAAGCTGTCCCGTGTTGTGTTATAAGAAAATTGGGGCTGGGTTTGCAGAGAAGGAGAATTTAATCTGGAAGATAAAATTTGAAGCCGAGAAATCAGAGTTTACCGGTTTCTTTGTACAAGCTCCCTCTGTCTGGAATGTTATTTCCCGCAGATCCTTACCTGGCTGGCTCCTTCTCTTTATTCAGATCTTAATCAGATGTCATCTCCTCAGAGAGGCCTTCCCTGACCTCTGTAATCAAAGGGGTTCCCCACCCCCACCACCCAGTCACTCTCTATCCCAGTATTCATTTTATTTTCCATGTGTCACTAATTAAAATCATATCATGGAACTATTTATTGCCAACACTTATTGTCTTTCTCTTCCCACTAGAATGTCTGCTCCACAAGGGCAGGGACTTGATTATGTTTGTTGGTGTATCTCCAGTAAAGTAGGAAGAAAGGCAGGATGGGGTAGGATGTGGTGGAGGAAGAATAAAAAGGAAGAAAATTAAAAGTTGCTGGATCAAACACTGACACTCCTGATATGAATATCAGTCTCATTTTAGTTCTTTCTCTTGCTCAGTGAAATTGAGTTTGTTAAGAAATATGTACAAATACAAAGCATTTGCTTTAAAAACTGGCATTGGGGCTGGCCCCGTGGCACAAGTGGTTAAGTGCGCGCGCTCTGCTGAGGTGGCCCGGGGTTCGCCGGTTCGGATCCCAGGCGTGCACTGACGCACTGCTTGTCAAGCCATGCTGTGGTGGCGTCCCACATAAAGTGGAGGAAGATAGGCATGGATGTTAGCCCAGGGCCAGTCTTCCTCAGCAAAAAGAAGAGGATTGGCAGATGTTAGCTCAGGGCAGATCTTCCTAAAAAAAATAAATAAATAAATAATAAAAAATAAAAACTGACATTATGTAGTTTCTGTTTTACAGGGTGGCATCCTCTGACTTTATCATATTTGACATTGAAAGTGAGAGAATCCTGGCCGCAGCTATTGCTTTGATATATTGTAGAAATTCTTCTTCTTTTTTTTTTTTTTTGTGAGGAAGATCAGCCCTGAGCTAACATCCATGCTAATCCTCCTCTTTTTGCTGAGGAAGACCGGCTCTGAGCTGACATCCATCGCCAATCCTCCTCCTTTTTTTCCCCAAAGCCCCAGTAGATAATTGTATGTCATAGCAGCACATCCTTTTAGCTGCTATTTGTGGGACGTGGCCTCAGCATGGCTGGAGAAGCAGTACGTCGGTGCGCGCCCGGGATCCGAACCCGGGCCGCCAGTAGCAGAGCGCACGTACTTAACTGCTAAGCCACAGGGCCGGCCCTGTAGAAATTCTTCTTAAAGTTAAAAATTTTCTTCACAATTTTCCTTTAAAAAATTTTTAAATCTTCTTTGAAATTGCTTAAAAAGAAATACCACAATTAAATGATGCCCAGCCTTTCAGAGCCATGCTAATTCCAGCAGTGTCATTCATAGGAGAACATAATTAGAAAATTCATCCAATTAGTTAATTAATGCAACCAATGGTCATTGAGCCACGGAGGCCAAAGCCGTGACCAGCACAGATTCAGACCTGCCTTCACAAAGCTTGATTTTCTCAAGTTAAAACAACGGAAGTGGCTCAACTACTTGTTCTACTGTTTATTATGTTGAAGCAGAGTTTATATTGCATTTTTGTCGTGTTCATGAATTTCTGTCATTATCTGGGTATTTGACCCTGTAAGTTGCAACACACAGATAGGAAATGAAAGAAGTCTTGAATTCCTGTTCTTTTCTGCCATCTCAGAGACTCCTCCCCGGCTCCTCCAACCACCCAGCTGCCTCAGCCCTTGTCCTGTTAATATCTTCTCACGTGTAAGAATCACGCCTTAACTTAAAGTCCCACAGAAGACAGCTGTGGCCTGACCCTGCTGGTCCCTCCCTCCCCTCCCCCTGTACTTCCCTGTGGCCCCAGAGAGCTGTGTCACACCACATCTGAACCTTTTATTTTTATAAATAGTAAGACTGCCAAGCAAAGTGGTGGTGGCTGAGAAAACTGGTAATTAAAGCTGCCACTTGCTGACATAGTTCTTTTTCTTTAGTTGACACAGTTATGTTGAAAGAGCCGGTTTAACAGCCACAACCCTACTTTTAGGTCTTAAATTGAAAGGACAGAATTTTAACATAAGTCGAATTTTAAAGTCCATCCTTATTTTAAAATGAAAGATAAATGTTCATACATTCTTTTAAACAAACAAAAACATTAAACATTGAAACATTAAACATTGAAAACACAAAGTATATTTGAATAGTTATATTTTATAAACATGCAGATATAGATAACCAACTGTATAAGAGGGAGGGAATACATTTTAGTCCCAAAGTATGAAATTAATACTGCATGTTTTTTGGGTTTCTTCTGTGAGCGTTTTGAACTAGGCATATACGTTCTAAACAAAACTGGAGTTTTTAAGGCACAGTGTTTTGAAAGCGTTTGGTTGGTAATTTATTTTATTTAATGAACACTTTCATAGTGCTTACTATGTGCCAGGATCCGTGCTAGGTGTTTTATGTATATTAACTACTTTAATCCTCATGTCAACTCTATGAATAGGTACTATGTTTCCCCCATTTTAAGATGAGAACACTGAGGCACAGAGAGGTTAAATAATTTACCTAAGGTCACACAGTGAGTAATGTCAGAGCCAGCATTCAAACCCTGAGTTGTGGTCCTTGACTCCTGGGCCATGCTGCTTCTCCATAAACATACTGGCAATGAATAGGGGAGGGTCTTTTACTAGATCAGGCTCACATACCTGAAGCCAAGCCTGATAGCCCACCTCACACTCACCCGTCCTTTTTCGGGCCATTTTCATGGCTTGAAGGCTCTTCCTTCACCAAGTGCTTGAAGGACTTGCATGCCATTCGCCTGTTTTATTGGGTAGCTGATGACCAAACATTCCTGGCAGATTATTTGCCCGTAATGTGACTTTGCTTACAGAAAGTTTTTGAATCTCACTATCAAAAGATGTTAAGTTGATCTTCACTTCCCAGCAATTTTCTTTAATAATTGTGTCCAAATAGTTGGAAAATATCATTCAAAGTACCAATATAATTAAGGCTTGCTTTCCTTTGATATTTACAATTGCCAAAGATACCAGAAATATGTAGATAATGAAGGATTTAGGAGGTCAATCTTTCACATTAAGGGAGATCTGAGCTTTTTTTTAAAATACTTTATTATACTAATCCAAGAAATTTAAAAATATCCAAGAAAAAATGATGACCTATTTCTGTTTTCCTAACCAATTGCAAAGTAATTTTTACCATAATTCAGATCTCAGCAAAGGCATTTCATAATGGAAATGAAAAAATGGTAAAGAATTTTAGCCTGAATGTTTTTAAGACTGTTATAAGAAATACTCATATACTCATATTTTTTCTTGCTAGTCTCCTAAGTGATATTTAGTGACCGCATTTAAGTTATCTTTTCTAAAACTAACCACCGATGACAGACAGTTTTCTATGTGAATAAGGTGCTCTAACATTTTTCCCAGATAATCAGAGTCACTTCATTTAACTTCCTATCTACAGTGTTCCATTATTTTCACAGCCTGCAGGCAACCAGCTTGTAAAATCAATTCCGTGTTTTAACTCTGCATATAAACTAACCAAGTGTTAAGCCTATTTTGTTTTACCCACAAGCAACTTTATGCCATAATGGTGTCGTCTGAAAGGATGATTTTTCTTTATACTTTTGTATGCTGAGTTTTTACACTCGAATTAACTGCCTGCCTGCTCTTTGTCACCGAAAGAACTTTAAAGACTTCTTAACTGTGTACCAAAAAAAAGTTCAAACATAATGTCTTCTAAGATTATTCACCTTATCAGTGCAAGATCATAATCTAGAAAGCTAGTCACCTTTCACCTGTGTGTGTTCCTACCAGAAGGCCACAGCTGACGTTATCTCTAGTGAGTCCTTAATGAGCACCAACAATGGATTCTCCACTGCGGTCTGTACAGCACAGGATGTTCAGAGCTTGTGTTTACATTATCTCACAAAAGACAAAAGAAGATGTTCAAGTTGACATCCCCTCTGTGTGCCAGGGCTTAATTGACTTCAATAGTCTCCAGGGAGAAAAGCTTGTGATGAAGAAAAGGAGACAAAAAATCAGGCATTTCTTAGTGAAGAGCTCATGAGACCAAAAATTAAATTTGGAGGGCCTGGGGATATGGAGTTAAATGAGACCTGAAAATTTTGAAAATAGTGAGAAAATGATGGCTGGGGGGTGAATGGTAATTTATAGTTATAGCAGAAGAATTATTAAGATCAGGAAGATATTGTTAATTCAAGGGAATAAATAAAACTATCTGTACTTCTTACTAGCTTATATTATTGACTTCTAGAAATGAGCAACCTTAGAGAATTTACTCTACCCCTCGCTCTTATATCATTCTTTTTAAAAATTTATTTACATCGATCAGAAGAGATGGGCAAGGAGAAGGAGCCCCAGAAACTTGCCAGCTCTCACTCTCTGAAACATTAGGAATAACATTCCATAAAAAGATCCAGCCTCAAACTTTTATACTAAAATGAATAATAATACTATTTCTGAAAAATAAAGTGCAGGGGGCCGGCCCGGTGGCGCAGTGGTTAAGTGCGCGCACTCGCTTCAGTGGCCCGGGGTTCGCAGGTTCGGATCCCAGGTGCTCACTGACGCACCGCTTGTCAAGGCATGTTGTGGTGGCATCCCATATAAAGTAGAGGAAGATGGGCACAGATGTTAGCCCAGGGCCAATCTTCGTCAGCAAAAAAGAGGAGGATTGGCATCGGATGTCAGCTCAGGGCTAATCTTCCTCACAAAATTAAATAAATGAAAAAAATAAAGATAAAAATTAGAGTCAGCTATATAAAAATATATTTCTATCTGGGAAAAAATTACAAATTTAAAACCTAAGCATAGGGCAGGAAAATAATCGCAATATGTGAAAAACTTCTGTATAAAGAACTCCAACAACTTGATAAGGACCACAGTAGGCAAAGGACTTAACAAGTGCCTTCCTGTCAGTAAGAGAACTATAAGTAGCCCATAAACACTTAAAAATTCTCATCTTCTTTAATAATTAAAGAAATGCAGATTAAAACAACAAAGAGACGAGTTTCGCCCTGAATTGTCAAGGGTTGAAAACTTTGATAACTTCCAGTGTTTTTGACAGGAAAGAAGTACTCATATATTTTGGTATGATATATTCGAGGACAAAAATGTCCATAAAAACTTTAAGTGCTTATATCCTCTGACCCAGCATTCCACTGCCAGAAAGTTAACCTACAGCAATATGTGCACAAACGAGGTAAGATACCTGTATGAAGAAACTTACTGAAGCAAATTCTTTGTAAGGAACAACAACAAAATGGGATAAAACTGAATTTCCATTGCTATGGGATTGATAAACTAAAAGACATCAGTAAAATGGAATACTCTAGGGCTACTTTTAAAAATGAGCAGGGTTTATATTCACTGAGACAAGAGGGAGTCTATGCTGTATTATGAGGTAGGAGCACATTGTAGAACAGTATGTATAGAACATGCAGAATATCTGGAATAATCATACTTTTTGGGGAAAAAAGTATACATGTGCATATGCACATAGGAAAAAGAATCACATCGAACAATAATGAGTGAGAGTGACACTGGTGATTTTTTTTCATTAACAATTTCTGTATTGCTTGCACTTTTATTAATGTGTTTTATTTTTTAAACCAGAAAAAAGAATAGAGTATACAAATTTTTTTAAGGAGGTAGCCTCAATAAAAGCATGCAGAAAACAAAACAACCCCACACAGATTACTGGGGTCAAGCTAGAGCAGCCCAGAAAGTCCCAAACAGGACGAAGAGGGGTTGGTGGATGGTGAGTTCCTTGCGGGGAAGAGCATGTGTGTACAGGAGCGTTGGAAGACAAACCCACATCAGAGCCTAGAGTTCTGAGGGAACAGAGACCAGGTGGAAAACAGGGTCCCAGGAAAGGAGCTCAGATGAGCATCCAAGGGCCCCAAACCAAGTAGGAAGGGAGAAACAGGAAGGGATTCCAGATAGTGAGTCCAGTGCAGATGGATGGATCTGCACAAGTGACGCAGTGCTTGATCTGAAGCCAAAGGTTGCCGCTTCCATCCTTAGTGAGCTGCTGAGTGCTGGTGGGAATGCAGAGGAAGCCAGAGTAAGGCAAGGCTCTATAGGTGGTGGTAGATGTTGGTGTTGGCAAAAAAGGCTAAGATTGCTTCCCAACCGGACTTCATTTTGATATTCTAAGTCACAGAAATTAGATACATTTGAATGTGTCTTGTAGAATCTTCTGGAACATAATGGCTTTGTTGTGGCTCCCTTACAGATTACCTATATTTCCAGGAACTTGTCCGAGCTTTCTTTATTTACCCACTCAGCTCTCAATTTTCGCTGAGTGATCTGTGCGGGCTTCCAAGCTAAGTGTGAAGCAGGTTGGTGGAGGCGAATATTAAAGGTGATTCAGGCACAGTTTCTTAGCCTAAGGAACTCACAGCCTCATAGTAAAATAAATGAGAATGAGACAGTCACACATGCAAGGTACAATGTGACAGCTTGGAAGAGCAGAAAAGGTAAGGGTTTGACTATATTTGCTTACTAACTCTGTGATCTGAGGTAACTACTTCAGTTAGTTTTTGCATCAGTATTGTGTCTGTTATAATACCTACTATTGTGCCTGATACATGGTAGATATTTCATAAAGTATTGCTATTATTATTATTGTCAAAGTGCCATAAAAAGAATACAAGTAAAGTCCACTGATTCAAAGGTCATTTTCCGTGAATGGAAAAATAAGAATGATAATATCTCACAGAATTTTTGTGAAGGTTAAAAATAATCTTTTCTTTCAAATTACTTAAACATGCAAAGAATAACTATTATTAAACTCTACTAGTGAGATAAAAATGGAAACAATTGCTGCTTATTCTTTTAAAAAACTGAAGTGGTTGCTTGTTTTGGATGCACAAGAGTGAGTAGTAAATTTCTCCCTCAAGAATGCTCAGTGGGATTTTTTGATGCTTTATGCACCCACAAATAGGAGTCTTGTGAATTTTTGGCCTTGGAGCAAAGTTATTTGGTCTACAAAGTTATTTGTTTCTCGCTTACTATAAAATCTTTCTGTAGCATATTTTGAGAAATTCATAGGAAGTAATATCAAATTTACATCCAGATGTGGTCCCAATAGGGAAGGGGTTCAACTCCATTATAAGAGTCTTAGAGCGGGGGTCTGGGCTGGCAGTATCATCAATCTATGAAGCTGAGGGCCTCCAAAAGACTCTGAGCACTCAGGATACACCAGGAGATGCAGCCCAAGGAAAACAAGATTATCTGGGCCTGATAAATAGCCTTTCACGCCATCAGAAAGTCCTGCAGTCTTCAACTTGTATGATCAAGGATAAATTGGTACTAGCCTTTACCCCCTTGGACCACCACTGATACAAGACAGCCATAGTCCTGCACCTATCCCCACTCTCACCTTGGTCTTCGCAATGGATTTGGTTCTTCAATCAGTCAATAAATAAGATTTCACTGAGTGTCCTTTGTGTGGTCAGGATGGTGTTGAGCTCTACAAGAGTTATACAAAACAGGGAGTTCCATCAGGTTGACTATGCCAGGATATAGCTAGTTGCTGAACTGCCTCAACTGTGGAAGCCTTGCTCCATCAGCCCTGCTCTGTGCTTCATTTCCAGAGGATCCCACAACCAACAAAGATTCTGGCCAAGAGTCAGAGTCTATTCCAGAATATACAGCAGAAGAGGAACGGGAGGACAACCGGTTGTGGAGGACAGTGGTGATTGGAGAACAAGAGCAGCGGATCGACATGAAGGTCATCGAGCCCTACAGGAGAGTCATTTCTCACGGAGGTAGTCAAGCTCTGTGCAAATCTGGGAATGGGGAATGGGGCACCCATATTTTTTTATTAGAAGGCAAAACTAGGGTTCCCTGCAGCATGACATCCCAAAGACCCTACTGGGCAGTCAATGTTCAGGGGACTGTAGAGCTAAGTATATTACCCTGTACTCTATTCAATAACCATTGGAAAGCATACTACGCAAAAGTAACTTTCCCATGTGAAAAATGCTTTTCACACCACATATCTGATGGCTATAATCTTCTGTGAAAATTTCTTGAAAGCCATAGTTGCCCAATTTAATAACATCTGTTTGGAAATCACATGGGTGGGTTGTAGGGTTTAACTGAATAATTTTCAAGTCCGTACTCCATGGCCTGTAGTGAGATCACTATTCCAGAGATGCTTCTAATTACAAAACGGTCTTTTGAATCCTCTTCAGAAGCTTTAGGAAATCTTTTTAGACTCAGCCTGGTCATTTTTTTCACTACCTGATGTTTGCTTTTCTATAAACTCCATTACCTCTATGCCTGACAACAGCCATTCCAGCCAAAGCCTCCACCTGCTTAGTGAGGGACAAGGGAGAGGGAAAAGCTGTATTTTCTATTTCCAGTGCTTTCTTGGAGCTCCAGGAGCCTTGATCAATTTGGGATTCACAAAAGGTCACAAGAGCACAAGCAACATATTTAACGTTGTCAACTTCAGAACACATAAACGGCTTTTTGATTTTTCTGCTGCATGCACTCCTTTCCTGCAGTCCTGGGGCACCACCCTAACCACTCGGCTTTTCTGGAAAAAGCGTAAGCTGAAAAGGCAATTGTTGTTCTCTCTTCCTTAACAAAGACAGGGAAATAACCGTCTTGGCACTGCATTAAACCCGTAGCTTTTGTTTTCTAGCAAGCACAAGGACATTTTGTTTTTTCAATCAAACTTCCCTCCCCCAGCAGATTTTCCACCTTCCATCCCATGCATTGCTACCTCCATGGAAGTATCAGGACCACCCAGGGACTCTGACCATGATAGTGAAGGAAAATGTCAATAGGTGCCCTGGCCATGACCTTCCTTTCTCCTGCCTCCCCTTTTGCCCTGAAACTGTAATATGGCCCTGTGATAGCTGCTGTGGGGTGGGGACAGTTTCCTCTATGGGAAACTTTTCCCATAGCTCTTCAGAATGACAGCTGGCCTAATCTTGCTGAAGGCGACAGTCAGCTAGCCATAGAGTCAGCCCTTTTGTTTTTATAATGAAAACCACAACCTGAACATCATCCAGATCTTTCCAGAAGGTCATATCTCCTTTGCCCTACCCATCTGGTATTTTGGTTTGTTTGCCTTTTTGGAAATAAAAACAAAGGCTGACTATAAAAGTAACCTGTACTCGTTCTAAAAAAAACAAAAAATGTAGAAAAGTCTGTTAAAGTAAATCAAAGCCACCCAGAAATAATTTCTATAAACTTTTACCCCTCAGGTCTTAAATTAAGAGTCCCTTTGTTGTAAACAAGGCAGGCTCATTGCTTTGCTGCTATCCTAAGGCTGAATTATCTCATTAGTCCAGTAGATTCACCTGCTTGTTCTTTCAACCACAGTGAACTAGGCAGGTTGGGTGAGTGGGTTGAGCCCATCGGCTGTTGCCCGAGTCAAGAGAGGGTGATTATCATCAGCACGCTAGGGTCCGAAAAAGCCCCTCTTCTGCCTGTCACATTCTTTGTGGAAACTCAGCTGACACCTCAGGGATAACCTGGTTTGCTGCGCCCTCCATCCCTGCCACTCCCTTCCCTTGGCATTTGCTTGTCTCCATTCTGTGTCGTGAGCTCAGTTTTCGTCTGTGTGACCGTCCTGTTTGTTTGGAAGAGAAGGCCACCTTCCCTCTCCCTGGCTTCGCCTCCACCTTCTCCAGGCACCAGTCTGCATGATGTGCCTCTGGCTGCACCCATCTGAACGTTAGCGAGGTGCCACCTCTTCCTATGCCCTGAACAGCTTTTGTGCTCTGTCGGTAAAAACGGTTCACCCGTTACTTCTGAATTGGCCAAAGCTTTGTCTGCTGTGTTGGAAGCTCACACCACCTTCTTAGACCTTAATGATGATAAAGCAATACTCCTTAGTTACCAATCTGTTGAGTTTGTCATCCTGGCTTCTGATGAGCATTTAAAAAGCAGTACCCCAGAGTGAACATAGATCTTGTTTTGGTGTCTTGCATTTTGCTATGAGGAAGTTTTCCCATTCAGGCCAGTAGGAAAGTGCCAGCTGTCAAGTGCTCCGTGCAGCACAACTGCAAGATATGGGGGTGATGAACAGAGCTGCCTAAGTTCACCAGAAAACCAGGCCCTGCCAAGTGTCCACAGCACTTGGAAATACCAGTGCATGAGAGCAGTATTTGAACAAATAATTCAGTCTTCAGCTTTGGTGACCTCAATGTGACCTATTGCCAGAGGCCCATACACAACGTAGAAGAACAAGATTCAAGACTCGTCTTTGCCACTAACTAGTCTGTGACCCTGGTACATCGCTTAGCTTCTCAGTTACATCATCAGTCGAAGGAGGGTGATCTCAAAGCCAATGTCACCTCCTACGAGCAATATCCCTACCATCTGCTAAAATAAAAAAGCAAAAAGAGGTCTGGGTGGTTTGGATCAGCCATCAGTGTGGGGTCACTTTGAGGCCAGAACTGGCTTTTTTGAACTTGAAACAGAGGATACATTTAACTAACGAAGGACCGTCACGCCGAAGCATTGTAATGAGGAGTTTCCTTTCTTGTTTTTTTACTTCTCTTATTTCATTATAGGAGATTCAGGTAACTTCTCGGCAGTGTTGCTGGACAAATGATCCTGGAAAGAATGAGGAGAAGAGTTGCAGGCTGGTGTGTGTGTGTGTATGTTTTGGTTGCGACTGTGACATCTTTCCTTCTCCCTCCATTCCATTTGCTGGCCAGCAAACTTGTGTTACGTCCCTTTCATGCCTGTCTGTTCTGCCTCAGGTAAGGTTTGCATCATTGCTTCAGAGGGTCTCAGGAGGCACCACGGAGGGATGGTTCCCACACCTCAGCACACATACCCCGAATTCACCTCACAGTTATTGAGAAGAGAGTCTAATAAAATACATATTTTAAAAAACCAAACTTCAAATGAATTATGCAGTTGCTGACAGGCGACTTCACTTGAGGAAGCTGCATTTTTAGAATAGAAATTGCGTTAGCTGACCCCCTTGAAGGCATCTGCGAGCACCAAAAGCGAATGGTCCTCCTCATTCTAGTCATTGCACTTCGCCAGCAGTTGCTACCTGAAATATCCCCACAGCCTGACAGCAATGGTACCGGCTCTTGATTTAGAAGGAAAACTTTCCCAAGGAAATCTTTATCTTCTAGTTCCTTCCTTACATCTTACATCTCCTACTCTCCTCCTATTCTCTTCCTGTCTCTTTTGCCTCTTCTTCCCTTCCTACAGTATGTCTGCTCAAAATACAAAAGCCATCTTCATTTGTAAATTTCAGTAATTTTTATATAAAGAGACATCCCTGATGTAGTCAATGATCAGAAAGTGGTAAGCTGATCCCTAAGTATTTCTTTGATTAAATGAACTCTAGTGAACACAACACTACAGCATTCCAGGGACAAACAGCATTGACACAAAGAGCTGAGTTGCCATTTCAGATGACTTCTGAAGTACTGTTTATAAACCTCAGTCTTTCCTCTTTTTAAAAAAAATTCTTAGAAATTCTCAAGAAATTGAAAAAGACATCAAAGTAACTGAGCAGTCATGATCTTGAAATTACCCTGACAGCCTGGAGCCAGACAGCTACATTTAGAAAGATGCTTTTGAAAGGATGCTTTCGTACTTGCTTTTAAGTTGGATTCGTTACGTCTATTGTCTCTTTTCATGAACTCAGTCTTTTTCATTGTGCTGAGTCTGAATTACATACTTTCATGGTATAAGATTAGTGTAGCTAAGCTACCCTATCTTTTGTGGATTCCCATTCAGTTATGAATCTTCTTAAATAAAATTATTCAGTGGAGCAATTACTTCTTGTTTTAAAACATATCTCCTTCTGCCATTTTCCTTCATATCGCATTCTAAAAAGAAGTTGGTAAATACCTACAGATTGGACAAGATAGAACTAAAGCAAAATATCCAGAGGGAAGCCGCTGCAATCCTGTTTCACGATCATGCGTTGCATCAGGTGTATACTTACATAGGAGCATCTTCTAAGATATGTAGCGTAACATGGTATACAACAACCTCAAATTAGTAATACATGCAAACCCATAATTGGATATATTTTTAGTTGGTATCACTCTCTTTCCTCACCTCTTTTGTGGTAGAGTCATGCTCTCTATCTTTGTAGAGAACGTCTTATTAAACTTCTTTTCAAGAGTTAAGCCCATTCAAATCTATATCCAGCTGGTAGTTTACTCCTGTGTAATCACCAGAGGGGTATTTAGAGTTTTGAAAAAATGAAACACACCGAGTTCCAAGAGGGCTGGATCAGTCTTGAGGGTGTGTCCTGTGCTCCTATGCAAAAGCTTTGAGGAAATCTCTATTTAATGATGCTGAAGTCCAGAACTATGTTATATGACAAAAATTGCGAGCATTTAAAAAGGGATATTAAAAATGAAAATACAGTACATTGCTTCCATTTTTGAGTCTGGAAGACACATGAGATTCCATACACACACCTGTGGGGATGTGATCAACACCTGCTGTGATTTCAAAGATGAGCTCTAAGAGAACACAGAGCTTGCTTAAAGAATGGAGTAGAGCTTTCAAAAGGGGGTAAAATGTCCTGAGATGTCCCTACATTTTCCTTGAGCCTTGGAGTTTCAGTGGCCACACTTCCCACATCTCCCACCTCCTATTTTCTCACTGCCACCTGCAAATAGCACTTCCACCCCCTACCCATGTTACCAGGAAGTAATTCTCTCAAGTTTTCCTAAAAGCACATGTTCTCATAAAACTCAAAGAGAAGGCCAGGCCCTTCTTGAGTTTGTCCCCTTTTTAAGATACTAGGCTCCGAATTCTATGCTCAGTTATTCTAGACCTGACCAGAACTTTCCACATATCCCTGCACTGTCTGTTGAATCTGGAGATCCCAGGGACACCACAGGCAAGTGTGTCAGTCCTTGAAATCAAAGTAAAGGTGTTTGACCTGTCTACTCACTAGTATCTGGTCACTGGAGTGTGTGCGTGTGAGATTATATTGCAGTTCAGTGACTAAATTTTCTCTTCAAGTGAACTGGGTCTAAAACTAAAAAGAGCTAAAGAGGATCAAACAGAACTTCTTTCTTAGCCATTAAAAGAAAAAAGTATTATATAAATAGCTTTTTTATTATATAAATTAGAAACTCATAAGTCAAAAAGTTTGCCCTCATCCTTTGATAGGTTGAATATTTATACACCCCATTGAAGACTATGTACAACACATACAATCGTCCATAATATATGGATGCTCTATATACGCAAATATATTCACACTATCTTTTTAAGACTCTATATAACATATATGTTAACCACTGAAAGATAATTATATGTGTATATACTTAAGGAATTATAGTCTATATAATACTCATTTAAAGATATACCTATTACATACGTACACACATACTTGTGAAGGCTTCCAGATTTATTCTTTAGGTTAAATATTATCTTGTTAAGAGCTTTCAATTGGTTGCAAATGTCTTTTTGTTTGTCCCCCAGGATACTATGGGGACGGCCTAAATGCCATCATTGTGTTTGCCGCCTGTTTTCTGCCAGACAGCAGTCGGGCGGATTACCACTATGTCATGGAAAATCTTTTCCTGTGAGTGATACTTATGACAAAGTCCTTTGAGTTAATGTCTGTGGGCATGTAATGGCAGATAGAGCATCTTTAATAAAAGGAAATAGATGATGTAGGATATTCTAAGCCTTTGATAAAAAGTCAATGAAATCTCTGTTAAGGAACATTGCTCAAGAGACTAAACCTTTAAAGGACCTCTTTTGTCAGTAGGATGTATTGAAAACAGAATGAACACAGTTTGGCCTGTATTTTTAAATTCTGTAACATTTCCTTTGGGCGAAGTGTTATTTTTGTTCCTTGATAACATGTTCTTAGTCAACTAATGATAACCTGACTTCATGTATATTGGCCCTTGTTTAATGTGAGTTGCCCTTAGTATATGGTAACATTGTTGACATTTTTGAAAGTCAAGTTTCTAACCCACACGTTTTTCTAGTGTACTTGCATTGAAAAAAAAAAGATAACCGTACAAATAAATGAGTAAAACTCTCAGAGAAATGATCTTAGGTAACCGCATTCTTCTCAAGATGAAGAGGTAATATGCACAACCATTCTTAAATGTCATACACCCTGTAATTTAAATGTTATATAATTAGAGTGTAAATAAGATGAGCTATTTCATGTGGGAACTGAAAACACTCCTCTTCCTTCCTGTGATCAGATATGTGATAAGTACTTTAGAGTTGATGGTAGCTGAAGACTATATGATTGTGTACCTGAATGGCGCGACCCCGAGACGGAAGATGCCAGGGCTAGGCTGGATGAAGAAATGCTACCAGATGATTGACAGACGGTATGTGGGCTCCATTATTTAATCACTATTTTGACTTCCTCAATAGCCCGCAGTTCTGATTCCCTTTTAATCTACCAAAAATGCGATCACATTTTAGGAACAGTGAATTATGCAGAGTTGAGATAATAAATTATAAAACTATTAATGAAAGTGTCAGTTGATACCCCAAATCTGAAATAAAGCAAGTCCTCCCCAGATTTTGTAATGTTGTAATCTCAAACCTGGTGACCAAGTTTATTTTAAACTATGCATATGCTACTGCCACATGGAGGTGCAAGTTGAGCTGATACACCGAAGTATCCATGAGTCTCTACTGGTATTATGTGATCTTGATGCTGTTTGTGTGTGCTGGGACTATTAGGATTTGGACAACTGTTGTGCTCTTATTTCAACATTCACTGTTAATTCAAGTTAACCACTAGCCCACATGGTTCCTTGGTGTGCCCCTTCCTCAAGATACTTTACTTCCATCCATACTGGTTTTATTAGAACAAAACACATTATTGCTATCTACAGGAAAATTGTCATCATAAACATACAAATTTACGATGTCTATGATATGTGTGGCATCCCCTTAGATGTGTCTCCTTGCATAATAACATGAGTACCCTGTTATATTAACTAAAATCCATTTAATGATCCAAACATTCGTAAAGTAGCATTGCTAATGCTGAAAAACATGCCTGAAAATCAAGAACATTAAAATGGTAATCTGAAGGCCAAACAGCCACATGATATATGCTGTTACTATTTTCATTATATGAAGAAGAAACCAAGGCTCAGTAAGATCAAATAAATTGTCTAAGTCGCTAGTAAGAGTGTATTGTTTTCAAAATAATAAAGATAATGCTGACCAAAATATGCCATGATGGATATAGCTTTATGCACTCCAAGAATATAACCATTCTATTTTACATTTATTCCTATGGGAAAATGAGGTCTGAATCATACAAGCTTTGAAATATATCTCAAAAAGTATTCTTTTTATTAATCATGGCCATTCTATACCTTCCCACCAAATAATAGTAACCTGCCTAGAACTCTCTAATATTATATATATTTCTATTTAAAAAAGGATATATTTTGTGTTTTAATTCCCACTGAAAATGAGTTATGAGTAATTTTTTTTCTTTATTCAAAATAGGTTGCGGAAGAATTTGAAATCATTCATCATTGTTCATCCATCTTGGTTCATCAGAACAATCCTTGCAGTGACACGACCTTTTATAAGGTGTGGTTATTATTGTAGTAAAAATAAAAGTACTACTAGTAGCTTTTAAGAATATGTATTCATTGTCCTATAAACAAGGATTCATAAACTAAAAGAGTATGTAGGAAAATATATTTTGTCTCTGCCTTTCCTGGAAAGATACTTTGGACTGTCCAGCAAGAGACCCTGATTAAGAATGAACATTATTTCAAAATGACTACTTTTCCCTTCGTTATTATAAAACATGACCTCTAAATTCCTTGCTGTAAACAGAAGATGAAGTGGTGGGCTTTCCATGCCACGTTACAGAAGGGAATAGACAATACTATTGTATTGTCTTTACAAAATTTTGTAAAGAATAGAAAAGGTAGAGTAACATGACAATGGAAACTATTTCAAGACAGATACAGGAGCCACGTCTTAATTGTTCTATGTCTTCTGAACAAACATCAGGTAGGTCTCCAAAGTTAGGCAGAGTCTGGGCAGCCATTTTGAGGCTTTGTTTAATCATCCATGAGAATTCTTAGTTTCAGTTAAGTTCAATTCAGTGAATATTTATTCATCATTCATTTTGTGTTAGATGCTGTGTAACCTTACATTTGGGGAATGCAAAGAAAAGTAGGATATACTTCATAATATAGTAAGACTTGAAACAGTTAAATGAAAGGGACAGTATGCATTTTCTAGAGAGCTTTAAAAATATAATAAAATAAAGTCTTGCCCAACATCAGGATACAGATTAGGTTTAAATTGAAATTTTTCTGTTTCAAAGCTATTTATGAATCCCTAAGAAAAATTCCGATAACTCCACTTCTGTAGAAAAAATTACAGGTTAAAATTCTTTATATTTTTTTACATAGATTTTACTGTGCCTTCCAGATTCTACCTTTTTTGTGCAGTGTTCATTTATACTTATTTAGCATTCTCATTCCCTACTTCCAACAATTGAGTAGCAAGATGCAATCTAGTTTTCCTCTGACAAAGGTTAGCTCTTTACCATACTATGTTAAATTGCTTTACAAAATAATATGAAATATTTAAGGTACACAAAAGCCACTTATTTTAATAATAGCAGGGCCGGCTCTGTGGCTTAGCAGTTAAGTGCACGTGCTCCGCTACTGGCGGCCCAGGTTCAGATCCCGGGCGCGCACTGACGCACCACTTGTCTGGCCATGCTGAGGCTGCGTCCCACATACAGCAACTAGAAGGATGTGCAACTATGACATACAACTATCTACTGGGGCTTTGGGGAAAAAAAAGGAGGAGGATTGGCAATAGATGTTAGCTCAGAGCCAGTCTTCCTCAGCAAAAAGAGGAGGATTAGCATGGATGTTAGTTCAGGGCTGATCTTCCTCACTAAAAAAATAAAAATAATGGTAGAAAATGCCTTGACAAAGGAATAAGAATCAATGTACTCTGATGAGCTTATAAAAAGTTTAATGGGTAAAAAAGTAAACATTAGCATTGATATTGATTCATTGATGTCTGTTTAATAATTTGGCTCTTATAATTATGAAACAAATATGTTTCTTCTTGATAACTAACAAAATATTTGTTACTGAAGAATATTGAAAAATGGTTATAATTCAACATTATTTATTGAAGGGAGTTTCAAGATAAGAATAATTACAACAATAATCATAAAATTATAGCAAATAGTGTTGTGGTAAATTACATATAATAATGGCTTACATTTATTGAGTGCTTACATGCATTATTTCATTTAATCCTAATGACAGTCCTCTGAAGGAGGTGCTGTTTTCTATTTTCATTACATAGAAAGAAACCGAGGCTCTGTGAGGTCAAATAAATTGTCTAAAGCAGGAGCCAGCAAACCTCTTCCATAAAGGATAAAAGAGCAAATATTTTAGGTTTTGTGGGCCATCTGGTCTCAGTCACACTACTCAGTTCTGCCATTGTAGGGCAAAAGCAGTCATAGACAATATATAAACAAATAAGTGTGTCTGTGTTCCAAGAAAACTTGATTTACGAACACTGAAATTGAATTTCTTAAAAATTTTTACATGTCATAAAATATTCTTGTTTTGATATTTTTTCAACCATTTAAAAAATGTAAAGACCATTCTTAGCTCAAGGACTGTAAAAAACCGTCAACAAGCTGGCTTTGGCCCGCAGGCCATAGTTTGCAAACCCCAGGTCTAAGGTAACATAGCCAATAGATGATGGACTCAGACTTTAAACCCAATTGCCTGCCTAAGTTTAAGGAACACACATTTTCAGTACTTAAACATTGCATTCTACGGTTTCATCACATAATACCCTCTTTAAAGATCCCTCTTGTGAATCGATTTATATCAGTGTAACAATTTTTAGACCTGAAAAAGAGAGGCCACTACAATGTATTATAGGTCTTCTCTCCAATAAAAGATAACACTTATGATAGAAGTATATGGCAAATTCATTTTTTAAAATGAATTATTTGTCTGTGCCAAGCACTGGGGTAGACACGAGAAATTAAATAGCTCAATTGCTGTCATCAAGAAGCTCATAGCCCAGCAACTGACATAGGCAGACAAGTAAACAATTACAATATAGGGTACAATTGACGCACTATGGTGGTAACTCGGGGCAAGGGTGAGTTTGGGGGTAATAGGTGGAGAGTGAAGGCTGACAGTCTGCGTCAAGAGAGGCTTTCCAGAAGAATTAGCTTTCAAGGTGAGTTTTGAAGGACTAATAGGAGTGCCGAGGTAAAACCAGGTAGAGGTAACAGCAGGTACAGATACACTGAAAAGGAGAGAATGTGGCGAGTTTAGAGAACTGTACGTTCTAGTGAATGAAACACTGGGCTGGAGTTTCTGCCCTGTGACTTCCTCCTCCCTCTCACTCGACCCACTCCATCTTTTATCAAAACCTGAATTTAACTCAAAAATTCCCAAAGAAAGAAGAGGCCTAATGTAGCATATCGTTGGTAACGTGTGTTCACCCCAGACTTATCAGAAGTGCTAGAAATAACTGTATGGAGAGGAAATTGTTCACAAGTCACAGCCAGTGGCCCAGGGTCAAAACTGCAAGTAAAATGGATAGAGAAAGACCTTGCAAAAGCTTCCTACTAGAATGCACAGTAGTTGAACAGAGGGCGGCACAGTTGGCAGACTGCTCGGCATGATTCCATTCGACTGGAGCTCTTTACATTGGAAACCATTCCAGAAAATTCAATGTTCGATCAAGTTCCCTTTCAAGTGGAATGATACGTTTGTAAAATTAGTTTGCAATTACATCAATAATACAGAAATTCCTTCTTATAAAACGTCCAGTCATTACCATAAGATCCAGTTCTTTCTTCAATAACTGCCAATTCCTGTTCCTAACCCCCTTCCCCAGAGCCAAGGTCCTTTATCAGTTTCAGTGGCATCCTTCCAAGTTGTTTTCTATGCATTTACACACATGAAAAATGACAACATTTAGATGAAAGCCATTTGTAATTCAAATCCAATCATTGGAACACGTTTTTGAACATTGGTCCATCTGGAATGAACTCTCAGACTAAAACTTAAAAAAAAAACTAAAAAATATTTAAAATAAAAATAAAAAAGAGGAAAATGAATTTACATGTACTTTTAAAATATATCAACCTTGGTAGATTCTGAAAGAATTAATGACAAGATTTTTGTTCGTTAAAAACAAACAAACAAGCAAACAAAGCCAAGCCAACCATAAACCAGTGACTATTCAGAGTGGCAGAGATGACTGGAAGCCCATGTGATGTGTGGTGAAGAGTGTGGACTTTGCAGTCAGACTGCCTGGGTTTAGATCCAGGCTCTGCCTCTTACTGAAGGTGAGACCTTGGGCAAATACTTAACTCGGTGTGTCTCGAATTTCCTTATCTTTAAAAATAGAATAATAATAGTACCTACTAGGTACTAGGCTGTAATAAGTACTAGGCTATAATAAGAAATAAATGAGTTCATATATGTAAACCACTTAAAACAGTGTCTGGCACATAGTAACTACTCAAATAATGTAGTCTGTCTTCTTAGTAAGAGTGCTGGGACAAGTGTTAAGTACATCAGGATTTTCAAGAGCAGGCAGCAGGCTTGGGAGGGATGAAGGAGTGACTAATGATATTTTTTCTTTTCTTCTCTTTTTTAGTTCAAAATTCAGCAGTAAAATTAAATATGTCAGTAGCTTATCAGAACTCAGTGGGCTGATCCCAATGGATTGCATCCATATTCCAGAGAGCATCATCAAGTAAGTCCTTATGGTTTCGAAAATTTGGTAAGAAATATTGCATGTTTGGAGAAGGAGATTGGAAAAGAACTCATTTCTGGAAGAGTGGGGAAATGGCGTTATCTTATATTTAAAACAAATATTAAATATTCTCCCATAAATATATATTTTTTTCTTATAATCTATAGATAACTTTTCTGTTCTTTCATATCCTCTTTCACATAATCTTCTCTTGGGATTATTGATTATTGTTCATTTTCACCTTGAATTTTACTACCATTTTGGAGAAAGCATAAATTTAACATTAATCAGTACATGAGACACATACTTGTGTCTGCCACCCACACAGACCCAGTAGGGTCTGGGCATAGCTGGATTTCTTTATTGCCTTATATAAGTAATTTATCTGCATGGCCCTAGGAAAAGAGAAAAAATTACCCTTTCTCTGCTTTCTTGTAAATCCTTTTTCTTCACGGTTTGCTTCAGGTGAAAGATAAGGCAGAGTGTGGGTGGCATGGTTCAGAATGATTTCCTTACGCAGTAGAGGGTAATGCAGCAGCAGCCTGTAAGGAGAAAGCACGGATACTGCAGGTCACAGGATTATGCTGCAAAAATAAGAGTAAAAGTTAACTAAACAACCACTTGGAGCTGGGACTTAATAACATGGACACTGGAGAATGAACCCTCTTGTTTGGTTCATTGTTGCAAAGAGCCCTTTTTTTCTGTGGATCCTGTTTTTCTTCCACTATGTCCAATTCACTGGTTTTCTTTTTGATTAGAATTGACAGGAACATAACCATCAGCTCAAACAAAACAGACAAGAACACCCTATCTTCCTCCATAAGATGAATAGCAAAATAGACTTCCCAATTTGAGTTTCCAAAAAAGAGTCTCTTCACTTAGTGTGTGGGTTAGTGTGTGTCGATGCTGTACTGGGCATGGAAGTGCTCTATTAATGTCAGTTATTTCATCCCCACAGTAAACCCCAATTTACAGATAAGAGAAGAGAACTTAGTAAAGTTATTTATGCGAAGTATAAATAGGAGCAAGGAAGAGATGAAACTGGAATTCAAATTCAGGTCAACCTGGCACCAAGCTTCCCTTGTCCTTTTCTAGTAGTTTCCCTCACCCCCCTTAAAGTATCCATCTAAATTCAAAGCTCAGGAGTAGAGGCATTCAGTGTTCCTACATGCCAATATCAGGCACAAACACAGGACACTGACTGGGATTAGAACTGCCAGTTGGCTCAGCTGAATTAAGCAGTGTGTTCAGATGACTAACACTGGCTTTAATCCTCATTAACTTCATAGAGTTCCCACAATCAGCACACTCACTGCAGCTGGTGCCCCCATCTCCAAAATCCACTCCTTCTCTTTAAATGAAAAATTACTTGAGCACTCACCTCCTATAATGCTATCTCCCTTTGCAAACAATGACAAGGACATTCTCTCCTCAAGTGCAAATAAGCATTGGCCACTTTCTAGGTAAATACGGTAAGGCTTCCATGGTTTGGCTGTTGGAGACAATAGAGTGAGGAAGAGAAAAGAATGGGCTTTGAAGGTTTAGTATTAGATCTGAATCTTCCCGCCTGCCTCTTGCTGTCTCTGAGACTTCAGGCAACCTAATAACAATCTCTGAGTCTAGCTTCAGCATCTGTGAAATGGGGAAGTAAGGAGCACTTCATGGAATGGTCCTGAGACCAACATACATATGAGAACAACATACAAAAAGCGTTCAGGAAGCCTCCTGGCACAGAGCTGGTGATCCAGAATGTTATTTATTATAATCATGTTTAGAGACTCACTATCATATGGGAAAGTTTAATTGAGAAGTTAAACATGCCCACGGCACTTTTCATTCATCTACACATCAGTTTTCAAGGGCTCCCTTTGGGAAAAGTTTCTTCAGGAGGAAGGGTTCCATTCAGAAGGATTTTCTTCTGGAGGAAGAAATGTACAACCGTGCACGTCCTCCTCATGTGTCCATGTTTTCTCCCGTCTTTGGTAATCCATCTCCTCTGAATGTCCTCTCTGCCATTTCTGTTACTGGCCCTCGTTGCCCCAGTTTCCTGTTATGCCGTCTTCAAATTGGCACACCATAGCTGCTTCCTATTCTTGAATAACATCCAGAGGGTTTGATCTCAGCCAAGACCAGTCTTCAGCTGGGATGGAGCCTGTCATCAAGGGGCTTAAATAAAAGAAAAACTTGCCCAATCTGGAGTCAGATTTATAATCATTGATTACAGTCAATTCTTGTTATTTGATGTTCTAGAACCCTGAATAACGAATACTGAACTGTTGTTCCTAGGGTAATACAGGGTTAGCTTTCTGCAAGCCTGCAGTCACAACATTTTCATCAGCAGATTAATATATAACCTTATTTTATGTGTGTTTCTATTTAAAGATATCTTATTTGATATAAACTGTTGATTCATTAACATTGAACGCACAGCCAACAGCACTATAACTCGTGCCGAAACAAAGCTTTAGAACACGCATATATTCTCTGGAAGGCACATCCCAGCCTTCTTGTGCTTAGGAACACTAGACAGCACTTCAGCTCTATGCTTGGGGTTCATTTTAAATGGTGAAATCACCAACAAAAAAATGCAAAAAACGTGGCACTAAATAGACCGTGAAAAGGACCCTTGTTCACCGTGCTAGAGCTGCAACCAGAAGGCAGGGCCTCACCTTGTTTAACCTCAGCTGGGGACATGCACGTCAGGTGACTCAAATTTTTTGCCACTCTATGAACGTCTGCAAGTGACCATGAAAGTGCCACAGGCATTGATTTGGAGGTTACAAATACAATTTAGCAAGTAGGAGAATTCACAAACAGAATCCGCAAATAATGAGGATTGGCTGAGAATAATTTTAAATGCTAAATCGTTGATTATATCTAATGAAAATAAGATTTCTCCTGAAAGGCAATTTGATTATAATTTGGATAGGCTTTTGCTCTCATGTTTTGACTGTTCTTTAAGACATTTACCTGCCATTTTTTCCATCTGTTCGCTCGTTTTCCTCACTGCATTCGTTTTTTATCTCGTAAGGTACGATGAAGAGAGGTCTTATAAGAGGAGTGTGAGGTAAAATCTCCTGATCTACAGTTCACGCTGGCCCCTCTGTGTGTGTACACCAGTGTCTTACTCGTGGGTGACCTCAACATGCTACCAAGCAAGAGGTCGTTGTAATAGTCCCTTGAGTGTACCATTCCTGGTCTTTGTCTTGTGTGTAAAGCTGTTGAGGTCAGCCTAATTTGCAACTGTAACCTACTAAGCCAGATATATCCCTGACTTGGCCCAGGCTGCAAGCTAACTATACCCAACAGACTGATGTGGATGTTTTCAGCTTTCTTCAGCCAGCATGTTTCTGAGCTCTTTGCAACTTTTATATCTACCTTTCAGAAGGAATTTGCAAAGTAAACATCCATAAACACTGAATGGGAGGAAATGACACAATATTTAATGGAAGGAATGTGTCTCAGTGCTCCAGAGAACGGTTTTTAAAAGCACATATACTCCACTTATGTTTGGCTCTGCTTTGCTGGGTGACTCTCTCACGCTCTGCTTGCTTCTTTTTTGTTTCTTTTCTACGCTGATAATTTTTGCTCATGCAGACTGGATGAAGAACTGAGGGAAGCATCAGAAGCAGCTAAGTAAGACTTGGTTTTCATTCAGCAGCTGGCGTGATGTTGGCTTGTGTTTCAGGAATGAATTGGGAGAACTCGCATGCCTGGTGTTTTATTCTTGCATCCTGATAGTAATGCTGCACTTTAAAAGTTCACTTTTCCCTTGATAGATGCTATTTCTGTTATTCATCCTATAATCTATTTTCCCCCATGATCTTGGTTATCTTGAGAAATGTATTTGTTACTGTTTGATTTTTTTAAAAATGTACATGCAATTTTAGGGACCACAGCAAAAGAACACATCACAGGCACTGCCACATATAATATAACATCCAGATCATCATTAGATACATTGAAGCAACAGAACCTCACTAATTCATACTAATGGAGAGAGATGATGGCAAGTCGAAATTTGGAATATTTTTGTAGAACCAATTTCATGACTTTCCAAATATTTTTTTAAACACCTTATTTAGTGACTTGGAAATATTGCTTAACTAACAGCTTCTGAGCTATTTGGATGAATAGAAAAGAAAAATCATTGCTCACTATTGTTAAAGCATAATTTTCAAAAAGGCAAAATCGTAGCTTTAATGCAAATATAAAATGAATACATGCCAGTGATTTTATTCAACTAATTACTTAGTGAAGGAACGAGTAAGGTATTAAAACCAGTTGATAGAACATTTGAGAAGCTGCATACCTATATTAAAGAATGTTAGGATAAGATGGTTGGTTTAGATACAAAACTGATTAATGTCTAACAGCATAATAAATTTAACCTTAGGGTTTTCTTTTCCACTGGACAGAAATGATTTACATCTCTGCTTGACAAAAATCTGTAAAATCTACAATCTAACCTCTGCCCCTACAGAGTTGTAAAATAGCCCATCAGTTGAAAGTCAACTCAGCACTGTTTTGAGAGAACATCTTGTAATTTCCTTTTCTTATTTCCAAGGTATAAATAAATAATTTTTGTGACACTATATGTTAAATGTAGAAAGGTACTATTTGGAATGTTTGCTGTATTGAGCTGCTTCTCCATTTCAAATATTGTTTATGCTGTTAATTTTTATAACCACTTCCCATTTTAATAGACATTACAAAAGCAGAAAGCTTGGACAATGTCCAAACAGCTACAAATTCTGAAAAGATAAGGTCTAAATTAGTGAAATTTTTTCTGCATAAGTGTAAATGCCAATTCTTCATGAAAACAATCCATTTAGATATTTTTTCCCTATAGCACATTTTTATTGCAGGTACCCTATAGATTATTTGCTTATAGTATGGATCTTTGGGCTTAAAAATGTAAGGAAAGATTTTTGCTTTAGAAAGTTTAGCGTTAGTGTAGTTTACTGTTACAATAGTCCCATCCTCTAGTTTTCTTTCAAGAAAACTAAGACCGATTTAGACTAACAATACTCAAAATTATATAAATTTTCACTCTAATGGAATCTTCTTAGTCTCTAATTCAACTGTTAAAACAAGAAGTTGTGGAAGTAAGGAAGATATTATGAATCAAGGAACTGAATGTTGGCATGACGTACCCCTGTAGCATTTCTCTCTACTCAAATTACCTTGTGTCATGAGATTCCCCAGAGAGAGATACAGCAATGAGTTTCTCTTCCAGATTATTTTTTTTTAGGATGATAATATATTTATGAAATTAGGAGCTGTTTTCAAGACAAAAGGTGGGGGGAGGGAACATCAATAATTTTCCAGCTGAACCCATTATAAGGTCATATTGCCATGTTTTTTTCATTATTACCATAAAATCTTATCTCCTTCAATAGATTTTTTCCCCTTCATATTTCTACTCTTCCTGCTTAACTACTGTAGTGAAGCAGTTATCATTTTTGGTTTAGTTGTATAGCTTTCTCTTTTTTTCTCTCAAATCCTTCATTTTGTTCTCTTCCCTACCCCCACAGACCCTCTCCCCAGGTATCTAAATGGTCTCAGGTGGTCTTGAAAAGTCTTAATCTCCTCCCTAAAGGAATCACCAAGCTCATGCCTAGTACATAGTAGATGCTCAGTAAATTTCTGCTGCATAAACTGATGAATGTACGTAAGATTAAGATCATTGCTGTGGAGCAGTGGTTCTCAAACTTTACTGTGCCTCAGAATGACCTGGAGCACTTGTTAAAACACAGTATCCTGGGCCTCCCCGCAAAAGTTTCTGATGCAGCAGGCCTGAAAATCTGTATTTCTAATTTCCCAGTGATGCCGACGCTGCCCCGTCTCAGGACCATGCTTTGAGAATCACCACCTTCAAGTAAATGGCTGAATAAAAATAATTCAATTTCTTAGGAGTGTTTGCTCTTGCTTTGGATTCAGTGAGTAAGCCACCTGCCTGAATTCTCCTCCAACTGATCCTACTCCTTTTGATGGTGACATTACGTGTATGAGGAATTGAAATATATTTGCACATTTGAAAATGTGTAGGAAGAAAGAATTTTACTATGTTGACCCCCCAGATGACTGAAATGCTTCTGAATCCTACCATTTTGGCATATTAACTACATCTTCTCAACTATCTTTCAGCCTCTGAAGTGGCCCCCAAATGCTTGGACAGACTGTATGTGATGATTATGGGTTCAGAAAACATGATCCCTGTAGTCTATGGTTAGATTCTAGAAGCCGGATAACCGGGTTCTTTCTATTAACAGATGCTCCCTGACTTTCCATATGACCTTTATTAGAAAGCTTCAGGCTGGTTCTAAACTTGCCAGGGAACAAAACCTACCTGTCTGTTGTTTTGCTTTATTCCCACTAGTGTTTTTAAACATCTCTCCCCACATGCCTACACACCACCGCCTCTAATTGGCTTTCAGAAGGTGATTTTCTCAGCCTGCCTTATTTTTTCCCTACAACTTTAGATCTATACAGGAAAGAAAAAAACTTTCAAAGGATAAATTGCAAATAGAGAGCCATTCTCATTTTGAAGATGGTGAAGAAGCCATCTGCTGCCTTTGGAGTGACAGTATTAAATGGATTGCAAATTGTTGTTTTCTTTGGAAGGATTATGCAAAGTTAAAAAGCAGAAAAGCTAGGTTTGGAAGATTGCCCTTTCTTGATTCCATTCCAGCTTGCTAGGTTTTTCTAGCACACTGTCAGCACTCGCCTGACTGTCCTGGTTCACTAGAGCTGCCAATTATCCTCATTAAAATACCAGACCACCAGCGAAAAGGGTGGGAGAGAGGGGGAAGAAAGCCCTCTGCTCAGCAAAATGCCTAACATTAATAACTGAACTCTTATGTGCAAACAGATAGATTACCTTGTGAGATTATTCACATTACAAAGGGAACTCTCGCATGTAAAAAGGATCATAAAATCCCTTTACTGTTTGTTTGTCAATAAAATATTTACCAGAGGGGAAAAAGTAAAAGTTGAAATGTACTAAGTATGAATCAGAAATTAATATAAAGCCAATTTGAAATTTACCAACAGAGGAGTCCCACCAACATGGATTATCAAAAGCATCTAATATTACACAGAAAGCGTAAACACGTTCATACACCATAACAAAACTTTTATTTCATTATTTTATATGGTTACATTTTTCTTTTTGAACACGTTTAGTTTAGGTTAATGTTAGGATTCATCTGTATTGCCTGAACACAACTCAGCTGTAGGGTTGTACGTGTCCTATTATTTTTCTTTAACAACAAGGAAAGCGGACAATGGCATTTCTTCTTTGGGTGTCTTGGAAAATCCTCATTCTTGTGAAAACGGAAAGTTAACTGTGTTCATATGTAAATAAAATTAGGCTGCTTGAGAGGCTTGTCCTTTGTGTATAAAATATATCATTTGGGTTACAAATAAAAATTTGCAATATTATATTCCCTGAATAAGATAGATGGAAAAGTGAGGAAAAAATACGACAGAAGAGACCACTGGAGGTATTGGAAGTTTTCAGTCTTCCTTTTATGTTTCTAAATCATGGGCAATTGCTATGTTTTGAAACTGGTGGTAGTAGATTCTAGGCGGTAGATATAAGGGTATTCACTGTAAAATACTTTAAACTTTGCAGTTTTTTTTTTTTCCCCAAAATAGAGAGGAAAAAATAGTGGAATTATGACCCACTGAGAATAATTCAAGACAATTGAGTTTTGGCTTGTCTGGCACTAAATGGATAATAATTTTTGAGAAAAACTAGTAATAAAGTTGAACAATGGTTAAAAAAAAAGAGAGAAACTGATGATAAAAGAATCACAGCTTAATCGCATCATCTGTTCAGGTGTAGATTTGCTCAGTATGAGCAGTGGGACCACAGTAAACAGTTTAAAATGCCCAAATCTGTCATGCTTACTAACTGGTAACAGTGGAGAAGATGTTTACTGCTTCCTGTTTTTTTCCTTGCACTCAGAACTAGCTGCCTTTACAATGATCCAGAAATGTCTTCTATGGAGAAGGAGTAAGAATTCACCATCAATAACAACTACGTGGTTACTTGTATGGCTGGGCTCTGAAAGAAAAAATACATTGAGGATTGGGTAAACCCCGTTTAGATGTTCAGCTTTCCTGTTCTCTATTCCTGAAATTAGACACTTAAAGAGAAATGTGCCAGTTTCTCATTCATGATCACCATGCAGTTCCCTAAGGACAACCTACGTCTTTACTTGGCATTCTACTTTCCCAATCCAAAAAGGAGGAGAAAATGAATAGCAGAGCCAGATGTGAGAACATTTGTGCGAGAGGACTGCCACTCTGCTTTCTGAATTACATCATCTATTTTAATTAGTAAAAGCTGGGACTTCTATTTGAACTTAATATTTTGGTAGATGGGAGAAAAACTATTCTTGTTTTGAAAATCCCAAGAGGCAGCTGAGTCTGGATGGGATTTTAGGAATGATCTAGTCCATCGAGTCCCATCCTGTGAGAAACAGAAATCGAACACGTATTGAGTTCTTACCACATGCCAGGTTCTATGTAAAAAGCTTCATGCACACTATCTGATTTTTATCCATGGAATAAGCCTATGAGGTACATTTTATAGCTAAGGAAGGTTCAGTGTAGAGAGATTATCTGACCACTTCAGGATTCATCGTTGTAAACATGGCCCAGAGCTGGGATTTGAGCCTCTGCAGGGCAGGTCCAGAGCCAAGTGGTTTTAAAATTGGAGAGAAGTAGTCTTAATGCTGGAATGGGTGCACAAACTCTGATCTAACCAAAGACTAGAGGACAAAATTAGTTGCCTAAGAGAAAAGACTTAATGATTGGCCAAGTCAGCTTCAGAGAATAAAGTGTGGTCACCAACAGGCTCTCAGAGAGAACTTGGCCATCCGGTTTGGGGCTCCTAATCTGGCCTATGTTGTGCAGAATTGAACGTTGTCCTTCTTCCCAGGAATCCAGAAGAGGGGGCAAAGACGGGATTTAACTGTCTGCTATTGTCATGTTTTGTTCCCTTCAAACCTCCTTTCCCTTGACGTCCCAGGGGAAGTTGGAAAATCACACTGCTATAGCTCTGCAATGGTCATGGTGACCTTACAGTTTAAGGAAGTTTACGCTCAAAGCTCCAGAGAGAAGGTCCCAACTAGTTGAAGAGTACATCAAGAACAGAAAGCTGGGAGGGACCTTTGAAATCACACAGTTCCTTTTCTGAAGGTTACATTGGTCCACATCTATGAGATGAAGACAACAATTGTTCCCAGTAGATTGCCACACAAAGCAAAAATATGATAGTCCCTCAGTCCGCCTTAATTCTTTTTGCAAATCTTTTCTCCCTCAGCAAAACAGCGCCCCCTAGAGCAGAGTCGTGCACCCGCAGTTAACACGCTGCGTGGACGGAATGTCACTTACTGGCCTATGGCTGCTACATCTACGGGCTTACCCACTCCTTGGTCTGCCTTGTCTGTTTTGCTCCTCATTTGTATGTAGGGCTCTTTGGGTTGGGAAGAGGGTAAAACCCTGCTGCTTGTTTGGGTTTTGGGTTCATTCCGGGGCTGGGCATGGGGGAGGGAGGGATACTGCCAATTGTTACAGTTACTTCCCACCTCTTAGAACATGCCACAACCCTTCCCTTTTCTTCAACCCTCTTTCCTAAGCCCTTACCAGGTCATGACCACAGTGAGGAGCATGAGATCTGGGATGAGGTGCAAGAGTGGCCAAGAATTTTTTCTGCTGACTTCCAGCCCTGGATTTCTGGCTTTCTTTAGTATTAGAATAAGGGGCTTCATTTACCTTCTTCTGGTTTCTGTGTGGAAGCATTTTACACCTTCTAGTATTGAATGGATAAACTGCAAAATGGGCAAAGGCTTTTCCGAGGAGCTGAATCAGGCCAATAATAAAATGAAATGTGTGCTAGGACCATAGTGGCCTCTCATTTTCCTCAGAGAGAGAAGGGAAAGTTATGCCCATCTCCCCCATCTTCCGACCTAAAACAAGAGTTTTCATTCATCATTAAACAATATTGCCAGACACTTTGTAAGGAGCCTCATTTAACACATGTTAGATGCCAAAATGGCATATCGTAAAATTATCAGAAGGTTATTTTGTCTCACTGGAAAGTTGGTTTTAGAAAACTAAGCCCATTTGCCCAAAGGTGAGGAATACTTTTATATTTCAATTCTGATTAAAACTAAATTTTTTCCCCAAAGCCTACTATTTTTAACAGTAGCCCTGGCAGCTTGTCTGCTTCACTTTTAGGTTTGGATTTTATTTATTCATTCACATCCTAAAACTTGCAACATACCTTTTTATATTTTTATGTACATAAAAAGCATATATGGGGGCCGGCCCCGTGGCTTGGTGGTTAAGTGCACGCGCTCCGCTGCTGGCCGCCCGGGTTCGCATCCCGGGCGCGCACTGACGCACCACTTCTCTGGCCATGCTGAGGCTGCGTCCCACATACAGCAACTAGAAGGGTGTGCAGCTATGACATACAGCTATCTACTGGGGCTTTGGGGGAAAAATATATTAAAAAAAAAAAAAAAAGATATAGACTCAAAAGCCTTTAAAAAAAAAAAAGCATATATGATCCGGGGGGTGTGGTTCTTTGGGGGGAGCCTTGAATTAGTACTGTTGTCAGTCGTTTTATTAGCTCCACAAGATAACTGTTGTCTCAAAAATTAATCTTCAGTGTGGTTTCCTATATTTACTTGAACATCATCTTTTCACTATCTCTTCTTCTGTAAACTGGGTAAATATGTTGCAGTCTTTTTGTTTCTCAAAAGCTGGAGGGTGAATGAAACCCTAGAAGTTTTACCAAAAAGTCAGTTTGAAAAGTGAAGCGTTTTGAGATAAACATCCCAGCATAAGTGTTTTTCAGATTTTTATCGGGGGCCTACATGGAAAAACAAAGTGACGGTGAGCTTTACACTCTTCAAGGTGATTTCAAATATTCTGACCCACATTCACACTTTTCAGACAATGTGCCCCAAATTTTGCTTTAATAAATATTCTCTTGGTCTGTGAGAGAAACTGAGCCAACACCATGTGAGAAAGAATAAAATCGCAGTCATCAAATCAAACTTAATACAGACTTTTGAGACTAACTGCAGCTAGGAAGTACATTTTAGAAGCAAAAACAAGGTGGAGAAGGAGCTGTTTTGTAAAAGCATAGTAGAAAAAGATCTAGGGGTCAAAGATGACAAAAATAGGACACCTCTCTGGTTATACTGCAGATAAGAAAACAAGTCAGATCCTCGAGGGCATAAAAAAGAGATTAATATCCATGACGACCCAGCCTCTCCTGACAGTCAGCTGGCTGGGTCTGAAAACCCCCAAAGGAGAAAAGATTATTATAAGGATAGTAATTAAGCAGAGAGATGATTTCCCCATTTCAAAAAGATACCAAGCTACTACAATTTCTTTACTACTAGGACTGCTACTACTGCTACTAATAGACATTTACTATGTGCTCACAATGTACAATTGAAAGCACTTCTGACTTAATCCTTAGCGAGCCTGAGAGAGAGAGCATTGTTCTATTTTACAGACACAGAAATGGAAACTTAGAGAAGATAGGTAACTTGCCCAAGGCCCCGGAACTCATAAGTGGTGGAATTGCGGTGGGTATTTCAAAAGAAAGATACTCGACTACTATAAAATGGAAGGGCGGGTCGGGTAGGTTACCAACGGTTTTATTTGCAAAGCTACTACAATGAACACTGCTTGGCTGCTGCAGGGTCCCCAGCAGAGCACAGTAACCTTTGCAGCGTACAGACTTCTGGCTCCGGAGGACAGATCTAAGCGAAATCCGCAGGCACTTCCCAAATTGCCCTTTTCAAACAAAACGTTTTTCTTTTCTCATGGCTGGAATTCTTCCTCTGAGAGTTCACTGGCTGTAGCTTTCTTCTTCTCTGGGACGTGCCAGGAAGTTGTGACATGTTCACTAAGAGGTGGAAGAGAGACTCTAGTGGCCCGAGGACATTTTAGACTTACTCCCTAGATATTTGGGAACCCACTAGACGTTCTTAAAAACAAGCATATTTTAGTTTATAAGACTTCATCTCATTAAGACAGGCTAACCCCTTTCAGGCAAATCCTTTGGTTCTAGAAAATACTGGGTTTGTTTTGTTTGATTTGCCATTGCTGTATTATTATCTACCACTTTCTTACTATTTAGCACTTGTCAGATGTTACTTATTTCAGGCAGATCATCTATTTGCCTCACAAGGAAAGATCATTACTAAAACTAGGTAGATCTCTTATTTCCAAAATGCAATAATGTTCCTTATCTTAATCTACTTTTGCACAGGAGTCTTTTGTCTCCCTAGATCATTTTGAAAGGCGTAAAATGCTTCCAGAAACAGTTTTGTAAAAATAAACCAATTCCATATTTTAGAGAAAGCCTTGGCAACTAGGAGAGGATTGTGTTTTACCATATTTTTCTAGCATAAGAAACTTGCATGATTTATTTTCAGTAAGTCCTTTGAGAAAAAAAGCAAACACACGCCACAACAAATCATCACTAAATGTTTCTTATTCAGTTTCTCATGCTTCTCATTTTTTTTTCTTCCTTTTTTCCAAAGTATGGACCTGAAGCTGAAAGAAAAGCCCTAGGTGGCGATGGCTGGAAGAAGAGGATGCTTTTCTGCTTCGTGATTCTGTTGAAACATATCTACCTGGAAGAGACAGGGCTGATGGTCCTTTTTTCCACTTTGCACTACCTGGTGCCATTCTAAATTTCTAAGGGGAAAAACAGTAAGGGAATTTGTTTACTCTTAACACGTTTTATGAAATTGTGTGTATTTTCCTATTTTGCCAATCATGTGCCTCAAAGATTTTAGTTGAACCTTAGCAAGAAAGTAGGACCTTCCATTTCAATATTTTGTTAACCCTTGGTGCAGTGGTATTTCGTCTTAGACTGGTATTGACCAATAAGATAACTTCAATCCACCATTCATTGTGAGTGGATTTGTTTCCATAGATTAGCTGGATTTCTCCTTGGTGATCATTTTAGGTTTAAAATACACAGGCTCAACTCTCCCTGGAAAGTTGTCCACCTTTAAAATTCTAAGCTTAACACCACCATAAACACAAGTGTGAAACCACCGTCAGCTAAGTGCCCACTTGGTTCTTGTCCACATGAATCATCTCTAGCTTCTCAAAGAGAAGTCAGGCTTTGTAATTCACATCAATTCTATTTAGTTATCAAATTGGGCACCATGTTTTCTGCGAATTGCTCTTTTAAAAAATCATCATTTTTCCAATGAGGTCAAAGACCTCCACATTGAGAAACTTAAGGATTACTGTTTGCATTTTGATAGACATTTTGATAGCATGCTTCAGGCCATGAACTTAGTTCAAGATGTTATGCTTTAAAGGCTCAAGACTCAAATGTAAGGTAGCCCGCTCAGAAATTCATTATTTGGTAACATTCAGTTGTCTGAATTTCTCTCTCACATGTATTATAAAAAGTAATCTGCTTTAAAACACTCTAACTGATCACAGGTTTAAAATTAAATATGAGTATGTACTATCACCTACAGAATACTCCTTCGTAGTCTTCATATCCCTTTAAAATACCAACGTGATTTTGAATCTGTGGGCCTCTAGCAATGGGATTGCAAACTATAGCCAAATCTAGCTATTTTCATGTGGCCCGTAAGTTAAGAATAGTTTTCACACTTTGGACTGAAAAATAATTTTTCTTAATATTTCATGACACATGAAAATTAATCAGATTTCAGTTTCCAAGAATAAAGTTCTATTGTGTTTTATTGAGACAGATTTGTTTACAAACTCTCCCTGGCTGCTCTTGCACTACAACTGCAAAGTTGTGACAAACCACACGGCCCAGAAAGCCTAAAACATTGACTGTCTTTACCGAAAAAGTTTGCTGAGTCCTACTCTAGCACATCCATCCTCCCTCGCCCTATTGTATGTAGATATTAATTTCTTTAACAGAATGAACAAGTAAGGCTGTAAACTAATTTATTCTTAAAAAAGAAAACTTTGACATTCACAATCAGTCAGCTACATGGCTTGCTGAAAAAGACAAGGAGTCCTAGCCACAAAAGCATGGCTCAGATTGTGTTTGCAAGACCCGAAGTGAGGCCTTCTTAGAAGCTCCTCTTTGGCTCTTTACAGGTGTTACTGAGGTCCTGAGCTTACTCTGGAAACCATTCCTATTTTCCAGCAGCACCTATTACTGATAAGCTAGCAAAAATAAAAATGTAGTGGAGAACAGGGTTCCACTACAGTCTCAGGGTGGTAATTACATCCAGGAGAGCTATCTGCAACACTTTGAACCCTGGGTATCATTAGCCTTGAAATGCTTTGAAGTAGACATCTTTGCACAGGTGACTGAATTTCACTGACCTCATTTGCTCCATGTCCGTCTCCCACCTGCCTTCCAGACATGCTCACGTACACACAGGTCAACTCTTTCCTCCGTAAGCCATAGCTACCTATGTTCCCCTCTTGGTACCTTTCAACTTGGTATCCTCTTTAAACTGTTCTTTTGTGTCTCCTCCCTCATGACATCTGGCTTGTCTAATAGAAAACCCTAGAGCACACCCTTTCTCACAGCCCAGCTCCACCTTTGGAAGCCAAAATATGCCTCTCCCAGAACTTAGTGTTGACAGAAGTACAGTGACCCAATATTTTGGTTTGTTCATGTGTTTACCACTGTTGCCCTGGCATAGTTATTAACAATGCTCCCTTTCACTCAATTGTGTCCCGTTTTGGAAGATAAATTATATGGTCCCCTAGGCCACAGGAAGTAATGAAGAATCCAGTGTTCAGCTTAGTGGTGCCAGCCTGAGGACATAGAGCTGTTGATAGAGGGCTCTTGTTCTAGTCAGTCAGACCCAACAACAGTCTCACCATTTGCATTCTTTTGAACTTGTCCAGTCTGTTCATGGAAGACTACTCAGGTGGTATTCTGTTTGAAACTTCAGCTTCCGACATGGAAATTACAAGCACCTTTTCCAATCAATGATTTTGTTTGGGCTGTTCTATGGGCTGATAGTTAGACATCTGCTATTTTATTATCCTAAAAAGATAAATTAATTTAATTGCACGTGCTAGAGAAAAGCCACTGTGTAAACTCAATCCAAGTAAATAGAATCATAGAAGAATCCTGCAAAAATAGTCCCTAAGCAGCTAGGTAGACAGATGTAAACATTCACATTATTAGCTATCTAGCTCTTGCATTCTGAGCATTCTTGCTCTGGTTCTGACTTCTGAGAACTGTTTTGCACTTTTCCTGTAGATTTGTAGTTAAGGGAACCAAGGGGTCATTGGGGCAAAAGAATTGTTTTCCCAAAGTGGCAACTGCTCTTTTCTTAGCTCCTTGATTAAGAGAAAGAACAGAAATCTGCACAGAAGATACTGTCAAGGAATGAGATAATTTTTTTAAGAGCAATAGCTGGGTATGGAAGAAAACTCTCAAGTTGCTGTTGAAGCCATACACTGTTTTATGGGGTTGTCTTCTAAGACGTACTCCAAGGCGCGTAAAGAAGTCACTACTCCAAGCCTTTGTGTTATTAAGATCTCATTTTAAGTATTGAGTTGTGGTACTATGTTTGCAACTTTTGTCTATCACAATGCCTCAGTAGTTTGCTCCCTTAGAAACATTAGATGTGCACAAATTAATTTTTTATATATTTAAAGTTTTTTCTACCATGTATTGGATTGCTCAGAATAAAGTATCTATTAGACTTTGTTTTGGTAAATAAATAAATTCTCCCTAAATAGTGTGGATTCATAATTAAAAAATATGTAACAACACTATATATATATATACATATAGCCTCTGTGTATAATTCAGAAATAAAAATTGATTCCACAAGTTGTGGCTTTCTTTCTTTGAGTCGGCAAGAATCTTTCTCTCACTGCACTTGGCAGCTGTCTTATCTGGCTATCAATCTGGCTTGAGGACACTATAAATTTTAGCTTTCTTATCACCCAAACTTTATTCCCTTTTCCTTTTTACCTTTCATGCCTCAGGGAGCTAAGCTTTCAAAATGTGTTGTCTACCCTCTGAGTCAGCAATTGCTCACTTTGGAAGCATCTCCGTGCTTCATGGTTACTTGATTTTGTCAACTTCTCCTTTCTCTGTCCCTCGCCTTTCCATGCCTATATTTATTTTTAAATTAAAATGCATTAAATGGCATTTTATTTTTAGTTTTTGGGGTTTCTTTTTCACTTTTACAAACTCCTGGCAAAATCAGAGCTTAGAATTACCACTGTCCTTTTTTTTTTTTAAGCCTAATAAACAAACCTGTAGCTCTGCCTCTGGGAAAGTTGTTGGAGTAACCAAATGGCAAGTTGCTCAACAAAAAGTGAGACATTGTACGTTCTCATGATCTAGGAATGAGTTCTGATGGATGTTATCCTCTACCCAATGAAGGGAAGGAGGACAAGAGAAGACTGAGAAGTAAATACAGGCAAATGAATGGAATGATACTCCAAGGTGGACTGTTGTCTTCATTCTGCTCCCTTTACCTAACTGGGGAGGTGAGAATTGGAGACAGGCTAGGTGTGCAGCATGAGGGGAAAGGATGGGTAAAATGTGGTGGATACACACCAAAATATGGTCTATTACACAGCTGTTAGAAGCAATAAATTACACGTTCACAGAGCAACACTTAAATCATAGGGTGGAGTGGAAAAGTAAGAAAGAACTCAATATTTATAGCAAAGTGTCATTTATGTAAATTCTAAACCTATGCACACACACAAAACAATGCTACATATTATACAAAATCCATGCATATTTAAGGACGTGGCACACTCATTAGTGTGAGTACAGGGGTGGGGGTACGAGTGGGGATCCAGGATGAAGCTGGGAGCCTAATTAAAAATCAAAATGAAAAAGAACCTTTTATAGGCTAAAGTTAAAAGTAAGTAAAATGAAGATACCCTAAATCTTCAGCCATAGGAACCAGAACTTTCAGCCATAGATCATGGAAAAGCTGTGTTCAAGTCCTTATGGTCTCCAAGGGGCTGTTTCCTTCCACAGCTTCTGTGGTTGCTCCATTTCCCTGCGTTGGCAGTATCAGTGTGCTGCAGCTGTCAGAAGCCTGCCCTGGCTGCATCACCCTGCAGTCACAGAGCTTTTAACTAAGCTGGTGCCTTTGACACACCAATCCTCACACAGCTGTGAGCTTTATAGAGCAAGGAGACTGTCATATGAAGCTAATTTTCCTAGCGTTTCACTCACATCCATCCAAAAAAACTCACTGTAGCCAGGCAAAATTATTTCTTTTTGATACATAAACATTTTAATGATTCTTTGATGGCAGACACTAATAACTTCCATCCACTATTTCTCTAGCCTTACCCCTAGTGAGAGACCCGCACTCCTGACATTTAATCATGCCCTCCTTGTTAAAGTCTTTCCCCTTTGGTGAACTGAATTCCCCTGTTTTCCCCCTGTATTCGTTATCTATCTATTGCTACATAACAAATTACAGTCAGTTCTCATTATTCAAGGCAGTTACGTCCTATGAAGTCACTGAGAACACTGAATTAGCACATACTGAACAGTTACTCCTAGAGGAAATACAGGGTTAGGTTCCTGCGAGCCTCTGGTCACAACATTTTCGTCAACTGATCAATACATATATGTTTTATATGTGTTTCTGTTTAAATACACTTTATTTAATATATATTGTTGCTTTATTAACATTGAATTCACAGCCAACAGCCTGAATATAACTCATGCCGAATGAAGCTTATTTAATTAACGAATATTCTCCATAAGGCACATCACAGCCTTCTTGTGCTTAGAAACATTAGGCAGCACTTCAGTTCTATGCTTGGAAACCATTTTAAACGGTGACATCACCAACAAAAATCAAAAAAATGCAAAAAAACACGGCCCGAAATAGACCGTGAAAAGGACACATTTACTGTACGAGAGCTGAAACAAAAAGGCAGAGCCTTTCCGTGTTTGACCTCAGCCAGGAACACAGGCATCAGGCAACTCAAACTTTTTGCCACTCTATACATGTCTCTAAGTGACTGTGAAAGTGCCGTGAGTATTGATTTTGGGGTTCCAAATAAATTTTAGTGAGTAAGTGAATTTGCAAGTATGGAATCCTAGAATAATGAAGATCCACTGTATCCCAAAATGTAGTGGTCTAAAACAACACGCATTTATTTTCTCAGTTTCTGTGAGTTAGAAATCCAAGTACATCTTAGCTGAGTCCTCCACTTGAAGGTCTCTCACCAGCTGCAATCACAGTGATGGCCTAGGCGCTCTCACAAGACCTGATCAAGGTTGCTTGAGACAGAATCTGCTTCCAAGTTCATTCACGTGTTTGTTGGCAGGATTCAGTTTCTCAAAGGTGGTTTGTTGGACTGAGGCTCCCTTCCTGGCTGGCTGGTAGCTGGAGGCTGCCCTTAGTGTTTGGACTCATGGGCCTCCCCAGCACGGCAGCTTGTTCATTGAAACCAACAAGAAAGAGTCTGCTGGCAAAACGAAGTTACGATTTTTTGTAACCTAAACACAGAAGTGACATCTTGTGACTTTTGCTGTATTCTATTGATTAGAAGCAAGTCACTAGATCTAGCCCACACTCAAGGGGAGAGGATTACAGATGGGTGTGAATACTGGGATGTGGGGATTATCGGATGCCGTCTTAGAAGCTGGCGTACCATAACCTAAGCCTTCTACAAATCCCTCTCTGAGCTCCTCGGTCTCCTCTCACCTATAAATGATGGTGCTTCTCAATGTTTTTCTTTTCTTTTCTTTTCGTTTTCTGCCATTTTCCCATGACTTCCACCAGCACATCTCTTCAGATTATTTAAGTCCTGGTTTCAATCCCAACTTCCAAACCCCCACCATCATTTCGTCATTCAGTCTCTGTGCCCACTACAATCCCTGGGGGAAAACATTCAATTCTCTCCCTTCTCTGACCTGGTGGGACCATTTCTCTACTATCCCATTGTCATTGAAATCATACATACTGGGATTTTGATCCTGGTTCTACTTACCTGTATTACTTTGGGCTAGTTACTTAACTTCTTTGAGCCTTAGTTTATTCATTTTTTAAATGTGGATAAAACTCTCATCTTTCATGTTTATGTAAGAGTTAAATGGGACTTAAATGTCTAGCCTAGTGCTTAATACATAGAAGGCATTCAACAAATATGAGTTAACTTCTCTGCTCTCTTCTTTTCTTCATCTTCCCACTCACCCAGCCTTTTCTCTGTTAACTTGCCAACTTCTCCAAATCCACTGCCAACCCCACCTTTAGTTTCTGTCAACTATGTCACATCTTGTTTCCTCTCCCACCTCCTCTTCTAAATAAATTCCCTTTAATCCTTACTCCTCTTCTCTCAGGTATAGCTATTTTACTCCATCCTCTGCCTTACTCCTCCTCTAGCTCCTTCCAAATTTTTCATCTCTTGTCTTTGCTCAGTTTGCTCTGGTTTTACTTTTTATTTCGAAACAATGTCAAACTTGCAAGAACAGTAGAAGAAATTACTTTTCCTAAAACATTTGAGAGTAAGTTGTCTACATAATGCCTCACCACCCCCGAATATTTAGTGTGTTTCCAAAAACAAGAACATTCTCCTCATAACCCAATACAGCGATCAAAACCAGGAAATTAACATTGAAACATTACTACCATCTAATCCACAGACACGAGTCAAAGTTTACCTGTTGTCTCAATAAATGTCCTTATAGCACAAGGATCCCGTTCAGAATCACACATGGCATTAGTTCCAGATTGAAGGAGGCTCTTTAGTCTCCTTCAATCTGGAATAATTCTTTAGTCTTTCCTTGACTTTCATAATACCGACATTATGTAGAATGTCCTTCAATTTGGGTTTGCTTGTTGCATTCAGGTTATCCGGGTATGACAACAATATCTCAGAACCGATGTTCTGTTTTTTCATTGCATCCTGGTGATGTTCACTTTGAACACTTGATTAAGGTGATATCTACAAGGCTTTTGCACTGTAAAAGTACTTTTTTCCCCTTTGTAATTAATGAGTATTTTGGGGGGAGGTGCTTTGAATGTGTGTCAATTTCCCGTTTCTCATCAAACTTTCAATTAAATTGATTTATTTATATCAGTATGAACCCATGGAATTCTATTTTATTCAATAGGTATAATCTCTTAGTATCATTATGTATTTTGATCCTCATATTGTCCCAAATCTCAAGGGCCAGTAGGAACCCCTTCAATCTGGCTTCTGTGTTCTCTGACATGTCCTCATCAATCATTGAGCACTTTCTTACTCTATGGCACAAGAAGATGTTCCAGGGTTCCAGGCTTGTCTTGTATTTTCCTCTAACCCAGCCCTTGAAATCACCCATTTCTTCAAGGAGCCCTTGTTCCTTTTAGTGGAGAATAGTATTTAGAAGCAAAGATCTAAGTGCTAGGCGTGCTCATTGCTAACTGGGGTGTCATTGCTCCCAGGACCTATTACTGGACAGAGATAGGAAAACACACACACACATTTACATCCATATTTATTTCTTTATCTATATATATATACTGACATCCATGAGTTCACACTGGTGTTTCCCATTCCGCTCCAAAATTACTGGATTCATTCTGTTTCTCTCCCTTTTCATATCTATAACTTTCATCTCCAATGGTAAGAAATCTAGCTCCCACCATCCTCAACATATTTCTTATTTGGTTAATCCCCAGGCATGTACCCAATCTTTCATAGCTGCCCTTTCCCCTCCTACTCTGTGCCTTCTCACTCCCCTCGGGCTCTGACACCCCATATCAGGCTGTCCATCTTCCTGCAGATGGGGTCCTCACCCTTCTTGGGATCCAACACACATCATGCTGAAACCAACACAACCTCATGGTGCAGATG